GTTGGGGGTGATTTTATAAGTTCAACATTGAAACTGTCTACACCCAATTTGTTTTTTCACAGACTGGCCGTGTTGGAGAGAAAATCAACACAGCAGTAACAAAACAACAGGGCCGGTCCATCCCCCCTCACTGACCCCCCCAAAGCCGTCTCGCCGTGTCCAGTATTTATGCTAATGAAGTGACCCGCGATCACCGGAGCGGGTCACGGGAAACAAATCCTGGTTTATCCCAGCATAACGGTGTCGGAAGCGATGAGCTTGCTGGTTTGATGTACTTTTTAAGACCTGGGAGTGCTTGAATGCTTTCGCCGATGTAACTACTCCCACAAAGTTACCATAAAATGTATACTGTGAAAAACATTAGTCGTAATATCTAATCCTTCTTGTGTGTTTTCTGATGGAATGTAATATCGAGCTTTGGCTGACCTAGATTCTATAAGAAAGCAAAAGACTAAATAGAAGAAAACAATCCTATAATGTTTTTAAAAATTCAAAAGAATACGGGCTCCAACTCCGAATTGCAATCGTCATTGTGTATGTTTGTTTGACACTCCTTTCAACACTCTAAGTGTAACGTTACCTAAGAGGCCGGACCTCCGCACTTTACTTCTACCTCCAATAGGTTAGAGCCAAATGGTTTTGAGAAATTTAAAATCCCTAAAACAAAATTAGTTCAATATATATGCCCCATTGGAGACTCGAACCAAGGCCATCCACTCTGTAGTCTAACATAATATCTTACAGCCAAGGCTATCCACTCTGTAGTCTAACATAATATCCCAAAGAATAAACACCGGTGAGACACCATTGACTGGTACGGTGTACTTGTTTCCTTTCCTTCTATTCTCTTTTAAACAATGTCTAAGGGGGCTTTCGTGGTCGAGAGGTTATGGTGTTCGCCTCTCATTAAATAGGTCGCGGGTTCGAATCCGGTCAACGAGACGGAAAAAATGTTTTTTCTAAAATGTTCTACCTTCACCTCCTTTCCTGCTCTCTAACAATGTTCTGTCAACTCCTTTCGTATTCACTTTCTGCCCCCACCGCCTCACCTCCATTGCCCCCTCCTCTGAGCTCCTGACTCTTTCTGCAGCCTTTCTGCTGCTACTCTCTGGTTTCTTCTTACTGCTATCTTTCAGCCACACCCTTGATCTTATGGTAGGTAATATCTAATACCTAGGTTTCTCAGATAAAACGTCTCGGGGGTCCTTTGTGCAGGTTGCCCACGTTAAAGATCCCTTATTGGTCCAAAATAGATAAGATTTGGTTTCGGCCGCCACACGGACAAAATTCAAAATGTTCTTCCATCTGAAAATG